GAAATTGCAGAAGACTTTATAATCACGGCCAACAGAGAAAACTGTGTGAGTTTTAACAGGAATTTCTAACATCTGAGATGACAGTGCATAATTTTGAGCAATTAGGAGGTGTTCTGAGAATGTATATGAGCAATCTATGTGCTTAATGAGTATAACTCAAAGCTCTTTGACACTCCTTGTTTTCATTGGTCTTTTTAAAGCTATATGAAAGAAATTTTGAAAACAAGTTATATTTTCAGGATAGTTTTCTGAATCCTCAAGCTGTTGTTTTTTAAGTTCTCCACAGTCTTAGTCAAAGATGTGCAATATAACTGTATCAGTGATGTAAAACATACTTACAAGATGGTGGCAGATTTCCTTCAAATAAAGGTGTCACCAAGGATAATTTTGTTTATGCTCTGCAAGTTGATTATACAAATGCTATAAATGTTTCAAGTCTTATACATTATGGGTGAGTCTTTGTAAGATAACAGAGAGAGTACATTCCTTCAAGAAGTTGGACTCTTCCCTACTGTGTATACCTGCACACTTGTGACAAGTTTAGCATTCAGGTAACCCTTGGGGAGCCAATTCAGTGCAATAATAGTAGATAACGACCCTGGGAAAAAAAAAAAGAAGGGGAAAAAGAAAAAAAAAAAGAGTACTAATTTTGCTTACTTGGTGAGCTGAACTGGAGCTGAAACAGTAGAGAATAGTAGAACCAAGTGGCAAGGGGATGATCTGAACCTCTGGCAGAAATGAGCTATTAAATCACCTCCATTGTTTCCTGCAATCTTTTAGAGTGCTTTTATGGTTTTTCTATCACAAATGTCAAAAAAGTTCAAAGAACACAATTAGGAAGAACAGTTTTTTGTAAGGCTACATTCCTTTTCCTTCAATGTATATAGTTTATAGAAAGCAAAGGCCTTTTTTTTAATCATTTATGAGTACTGTAAAGTCCCTGGTAGTCAGTGATATTAATTTTGAAGCTTTCTTAGGAGAAAAGTTTGTATATTAAAAATCTATACTCAGGAGTTCTATTTAATTCAGAAAGGATAAGCTTTGTCATCTAATGGATTGCCTTCAATTATTTAGGAGTTGAGTAGACAACTTTCTGTTGGAATAAAAACTAAGAAATTAGAGTTGTTGAATCCTGTCTGTAATCTGCTTTTTACTTTTGACCTCCATTAAAGTATTGATAATGCCAATTTTGAATATTTTTTGCATTAGTGATGATGAATGCAATGAAAGCAGCTGTGGTTTAAGACGCTACTTTGTCTGTCTCCTGGAATTAAGATTAAGAAGCAAATTGGTGGTGACTTCATTCTCATTCCAACATCTTGGCTCCAGTAACTCCAGTTCTAAAAAAAAAAAATGGTAGCGGAGAAACTTTGCCACCTCCACAGGAATGAGAACCTGTAAATTAGTAACATCAGTTGTACCTCACTTAAAGCCACCAAGTTCATAAGCCTTCATAAAGAACAGATAGCAGCAATAAAGCTATGTATTGTGATAAATAAAACAAGATTCCAGAGACTAAAGCAGGGTCAGGAGCAGAAGGCATGACACAATTCCAGAGATTAAAGCAAGGTCAGAAAGCAGGAGACGTGAATTAGATATGTTGTCAATTAGATATGATGAAACTATAACGCTCTAAGTCCAGGGCCATTTTTTTCTCCAAAGGTGAACAGCTCTGTTACTGTAACATCTTCTGGTCGAGTGGTGAAAAAGCGTCTTAATTTGCTGGATGATGACCCAGAACAAGAGGTAACTGATGTAGTGAGTATGGATTAAAGAAGTTTAGCAAGACGGCTGCAGTGCCTGTAACCATTAGCTGTGTTCATTTTTTAATTCTTTATCCATCTGTTTTTCTATTTATCCTATCATATCTAAAATGCATCTACTTGTACATTGTTCAGAACATTACTTTCTTTTCTTCCTGTCTTAAGGAATATCACCAACCTAAGTTAGAAACCTTGTGTTAGCAAAGATGCTTGTTGGCTATCAGGCAGGCAAAGTGATGCCAAAATACTTTCCAATTCTTCAGGGAATGTGAATTTGTTTCATATATAAACTTAAGGCTTTGTTTTTCCTAAGACATTCAAAATTGTAGACTACGAAGATGAACTGGATTTGTTATCCACTGTGGCAGTTACTGAAATAGGAGCTGATGGAAGAGCTCACCTTGATTTACGCTGTAATGAACATGGGATTCTACTTAAGAGTATTCCATTACTGGAATCCTGGGATGTGGTGAGGAGCATTCCTTTTTTTGTTTGGTTGTTGACACTAACATTTCCCCTTTCCTATTTACCTACCATTAAATGCATTAATTTTTCATTCAGATTTGAAGTAGATAGATAAATAGTGTTGCTTAGTGTTATGGATGAGACTTGTACTAAATATAATCATGACTCAAAAAAATTAAGTATTCCATCAGACAGTAGTTAATTTATCAGAAAATCCTAATTATTTGAAATCAATGTTTTTTGGCTAGTTACATCTTTGTTTTTTTTTCTTTAGTTCTTTCTGAAGTATTTATCAACTTGAATTCTCACTGTCTGGCTAGTTACATCAGCTTAGCTTTACACCTTGTAAATAGTCTCCTTAACTAAACCGTAACTATTCATGCATAGAATTAAGCATGGACCCTGCTGTGTGTATATTTGGAAAGGTGCAATGGGCAGTTCATATAGCCCAAGCTTAAGTACCTAACTTAGGTAGTCTAAGTTACTCAGCACCTTTGGTGTCTCTTATAATTGCCTGTATAGGCAACTTAAATGCTTTAAATTGTGCTTAGATTCCCAAAAATAGGTACACAGAATATCTTTAAAACTCTGCCTTTTCTCTAGAAGGGCAGACTGTGTGCCTCCACACAAATTTCCTGTCTGATCACGGAAATAAAAAATGTATGTATACATATATATATATATTCCTCCTCTCCCCCCAAGGAAAATGATACTATTACTAAATTATATTCTAATACTACTATATTAGATATATACGACTACACTATATAGATACATACTACTATACTAAATGATACATCAAACTATGATACTGTTATCAAGCTGTGGAAATTGAGACTGCAATCAGAATTATTTTTCTCATTTCAGACTTACAGTCATGAAGTTTACTTTGACAGAGATATTGTATTGCATATAGAACAGAAACCTAACAGGAGGTTCAGTTGTTATGTTTACCAAATGGTCTGTGATACTGCAAAAGAAGATGAATGTTCAAGGCATGAAAGAACAGAAAGAGTGTCTTGTAAAAAAGGAGGGAGAATTTTTGAATATACTTAAGACATAACAACTACAGAGACTTCAATTTTGATGTTATTTAAGGACTTCATATGTATTAATTCATCAACTACTGTTTTCCAGCCAGTGTTTAACATTTTGTACCATTATACAAGGCTTTATTTTTTAATTTTTTCTCTCTCTAATATTGTACTCTTGTCTGTAGTCCATAATGATTTTTCATGTATTCACTAGTTCTTTAATGCTGAATTCAGCATTTCTTGGTTCTATTCAGCAACTGCATTTGAAATACTGAACATCAAGGAGAAAGATGTAGACTCTTTGAACATCTACCATCTGCTGCATTCTATCTTATGTAGTTTTAGCTATGCAACTTTAATACGGGCTGTTAACTAAACAAAATGTGAAAGGCTGTATGGAAAAGAATTTCTGTGTAGGACAAAAACTGCAGTTATCATTACACAAAAAAACAACAAGAGGATTTTTTCTGATATACAAAACCATTTGTTTTTTTGGAGGGTTTAACCAATTTTCTAGTTGTGTTTGTTTTGGTTTGAAGAAGAGTATTAATAAATTATGCATATTTACTGCCTTTTATGTTTTATTTATTTTATATACATATATGAAAAAGGCACTTCTCTGAGTTTCCCCATGACAGATTTCACAAATTGTTGTCTGAATCAAAGCCACCAGATACTCAGTCTGATCACTGTGTGCAGCCTGTCTCATACGTGGCAATTCCACATGGTATATTCATTAAAAATATAAGTGAACAAAACCAACTAGTGTAAGTGAAAAAACAACTCGCAAGCTCCCAACCCACTTCATGATCATGATCATGATCAAGAGTAACCATGCAGATAACCAAATGGAGAGTGACCAGATGCAAGCCAAAGGTGCCTCCACAAGTGTTGCTTCTGGAAGGATGGACAACATCTGATTTCTCCCCACTACCACCACTGTCATGTTCATTTCATGAGCATAATCATTCCAAACCCAGCTATTTCTTTTCCTGGTAGCCTTCACTACTGAAGTGTTCATTCTTCCAGCTGATGTAATAGGGAAGGGCTTTAAAATTATATATAAAAATAGCATTTGCAAGATGATATATAAAGTGTAATGCAAAATAAAAAGTAAAATAAAATTATGGAAAGAAAATACAAAAAAAAAAAAAAATAGGCAGAAAGGAGATTTAAGAAGGTAATGAAACAACAGTAGAAATGAAGAATAGCAGCAATGCTCTACTTACACCCTATCCTCAGTTCATTTTCATTTAATGTCTAGGAAAAAGGCACCTGTCCATTATGCTACTAAATAAATAACAGAGAGATAGAAGATTAGAAACTACTACAGAACCTATAGGAAATGGTGCTGAGGCAGAAATTTCTATTTGAGTTTGTATGGGTTAATTATTTATAACTAAATTTCTTTCATTAGAAATCTGTCACCTCAGTCAGTGATGACAAATGGAAACTATTTTACCATGAAAAAGAAAACTCCATAGCCTAACTGAAAAGTAAGGTTGCAAAGAGGACAACTGTTCGTCACATACAAGAAGTTGAATGCTTGGGGAAGAATGGCACAGAGCTGTTTTTCATGATACTCCTCATCTCCTCTCCACCACTCTTCTCATGTATGCAAATTATTTCATATAGCTATTACTGGGAAGTCGTAAGTCAGGATATTTATTAATAAAAGTTGCTACATGAAAGCAAACTGATGAGACTAAAAAGAGAAGGAGAAGTGCAGTTTTCAGATGGTCATGAATCATCTGTGGCCAGAGTAGACAGAGGGAAGCAGGAACACTGAGGCTATTCAAAAGCTGATTTCAAAAGGGCAGAGTAACCATTTTGCTAGTCTTCAGAAGTATTATGCAATCTTGAAAAAATATTTCAGACAGAAGTGGTGACAGCAAAAGCAGAAACTTTCTCTGATGGGGATATAGCAGAAGATTTTTATGGGAGGTGTGCAGTTAATGATTATATAAACCCCATCACCATTTCTGACATTTTTATGACATAGTCTTCCTTATTGGTATTTCATGCTCGTTTCTATTTGGATTATTTAAAACAGTTCTTTCCAGAGCAAGGCATTTAAACTTCACTAGAACACTGCTTATTGAATAGTGCAGGTGCCATTCACAATATCACCTCTACAGCTTTCAAGAATTTGCTGTGCTTCCCAGTGACTATTATTTTGAAGCTCTTGTGACTTGCAGTAGTCTTCTAAATCAGCAGTCATACATCACTGTCCATCTGGTGAAAAATGCAGCAATTCATGGTGACCAAAAGGCAGCACAGACTTCGATGAAGATTCCAGGCTTTGTGTAAGAAACTCGATCACTGTAAATACACAGTATACATGCTCTGTCCTGGAAGCTCACACATAGACATTTTCATTCAGAAACAGGAGAGATGTTTATGTTAAATTTTAAAACTCCTTGAAAGCTATTTAAGAATAGAGAATGTAGAATGACTGTTCCTGAACACTTCTATAAGTAGGTCTCAGATATGACTAAATCGCCAAAATTTGGCAGGTCTTAATAGAACGATGCCCAAACGCTCCTACAAACTTAGCCCAGCGTCCATGTGAGAAACCGCGTTAATAGCTGTTCTACAGCAGTCGAGGAATCCAACGTGAGTTGAAGGGGATGACCGCGATAAAAACCACGCTCCGAGAACAGTACACCAATGTCTTTAAGCACGCTCAGCGGTTGCACTTTCTGCGCTGCGTCTCCTTATCGCAGCAGTACTTCTGGTTTATTTCTCGGTGCTTACGGCCGCGCCGCGTTATCTCTGCAGCAGCGCTGGAGGCTCCCATCGGCGCCCCGGCTCTCCGCCACAGCCATGTGCCCGACGCCTCGGGCCCCAAGAAGGAGCGGGCGGAGCCCCGCGGACAGGTCCACTTGCAGTCGCCGTTCTGAGCGCGAAGGACCGGGCAACCCTGTACAAAATACTTGTAAAAAGCAGTGTGGCGACTGCCGGCTCGCAACAAGCGGCGCGGGGCGGCGCCGCCCGGGCACGGGGCCGAAGGAGGGCGTCAGCGAGGGCGTCCGCCTTGCCCCTCCCGCGCGGCGCTGGCGGCGATGAGCGGGGTTCCGAACATGGAGGACTACGGGCTCTTCCTGGCGCTGCTGGGCTCGGCGCTGCTGGTCGGCTTCGTTTCCGTCGTTTTCTCCCTCGTCTGGGTCTTCAACTACCGCGAAGGGCTCGGCTGGGACGGGGGCTCGGCGGAGTTCAACTGGCATCCCGTCCTCATCGTCACGGGCTTCGTCTTCATCCAGGGCATCGGTGCGTGAGGGCCCGGCGGGGCGGCGGTGGAGTGGGGCCGCGCGGGGCCGGGGCGCCGCGCGGGACGGGAGCGGCGGGACCGGGGCCGGGGCGCTGCGTGGCGCTGCCGTTCGGGAGAGCCGGCGCTCGCAGCGAGACGGGACAAAGAGTCCCTTGTCGCAAGCTTATAGCGGTGGTTTGGGTTGATTGGGCTTCTTTTTCGTGTTTTTTTTTCCTCCCTAAAAGCACTTGTTTACCCTGGCCTAGGATTTCCTTGCACTCTGAGAAAGGCTTGCGAGGTGTGTTTTCCTAGTCAGCCTGAATTTATGCGAGCTGGGAATCGAAACGCCAGCGGTGCTGCCCTAGGAAACTTTCACTCGTTTGGCTCCATCCCTTCTGGCTCGCTCCCCCGTCTCAATTCAGCACCACCGCAGCCAGACCCAGGAGCGGGGCTTGTGCCAGAGGAAATGCAGCACCGAGAACACCGCTGCAATGCATTTCATCAGCCCAGAAGCTGTATAAATTTTTTTTTGCAAAACATATATTTACAATTCGTACTTAATTCTGTTGCCTGAGTAATATAAAATGGTTATGATGGGGGGGGGAAGTTTTTATAAAGTTTATGAACTTTTGATTGCGCAGCGTTCAGCCTTGGACTGACAGCTTTTCCCACTACACGTGCTATGTGCTCACTGTCTGTTTTCCATCACACGCCCTTTACATGCTAGGTCTTAAGGGCAAGGGTTGTTCTTTGAGGCCGACGAGAATGTTGGAGTTTGAACGACATGCTTTAGCTTTTAGTAGAAGCAGCTAAATCCAAGAAAATGACTGACTTGCACACGATGCCACTGATGAATGGGTTGAGGTGAGGAAAGAAAACCGGCGGTACTCTCAGTAAAGTTTAACAAGCAGATAATGGTAGTGCCCCAGAAGTACTAACCCTGAAATTTGAGTATTTACACTAATTGCATGAAAACTAATGGGGAAATTTGGCAGAGATAACAGCTTCCAACGGTGTTTTCTGATAAAGTCAGTAACAACATTCTGGCTAGTTTCACTGATAAGAGAACGTGTGAAGAAACAGCACCAAGTTCTCAAAGAAAGGCAGGTGAAAGTTGCAGAGAATGGTGGAAATTCCTTCACGGTTTCACCACTGACTTCTCTGGGGGGAAAGAGCAAGGAGATGATTTTACTCCTCTTAAGTAACAGGAGGAATTAACTTAGAATTTCATTGTTAGCAACCTTATTTACATTTGCTTCACTGCTGAACGACATTTTGCACTCATCCAGCCAGGAAATGTGTCCAGCACATCTGGACATTCATTCCAGCAAGCGCGTTGTTTGGATCGCGCGTCCGCTCGCTCTGCAGCAGGAGCCCTGCCAGGGCTGGAAGGAGCAGGGCGGGTGGCTGCTGAGCTCTGGCTAGGCAGGGAATTTGGTCATTTGAGCACACACCACAAATTTAATATTTTCAGTGGCACTGAGGTATGTTCTGAGCTTCATGGCTTCAAGTTACAAAGAGGTTTTGAGCAATAAACAACATTTTGAAGCTGGCTCATATAATATTGCTCAATAGGTCACATAAAGTGTAACTTCTGGTTATAAATAAGCAATGAGAAACACCTGTTGACTTCACTAAATACAATTTCTTGTGATCAAACTACTGAGCTTTTCCTTCTTATAAACACAGATTTTTTTAAATCTTATTTGTTTATTTATTTATTTATTTTGCAGACAGTAAGGGGAGGTTTTCTGCAGAATTTTCCCCTGCTCTTTTATTTCCTCTGAAACTCAGCTTACCCCCTGTTGCAGAATTAATTAGTTGCCTCAAGCCTTGTGTAGGTATTTGTAACATAAAGGAAAGTTTATCATGGCTCAAACAAACAAACAAACAAACAAAATCAAGCCAGGAATTCATTGATAGAAGAGCATTATTTGGAGTAGGAAATCCAATTAGGTAACATGAAAAGCAAAGCTGGAGACTGATGGAAAAGTCCACCATTGAATTCAAAATAATTTGGATGAGGCTGATAGCACACCTCTTTGCACACATGCAAGAAAAAGATATCCATAAGTAGCAAAAAGTAGAAAGGAATAGCTGAACAAATACTTTGGTTAAATTTGGTGCAAGATTTGAAACAGTAACCAAATCACCTGTTTCTTCTGTCCATTAAAATCTGCACAAAGGATAGAACTGTATTGCTGGTCTGTGGGAGGTAGAAGAGGTGACTGTAATAACATGGATATGAGGAATTAGATATACCCTGACAAAACTGCTATATGTATCTTGTCTACAAAATGAAAAAGCTGTAGGCACAACAATGTAAGTATTAACTATTTATAGATGAGTACCTGTAAGTAAATTATATCTGATAAAACCCTGTCAGTGCACAGTAATTGTCCAGATGGTTTTCCAAAACGGTGATAATACAGGCAGTAAAAGTCTGTGTGCATATTTGTACCATGACTCTTTTAAAGATTAAGATAGGAAAAAACATGAAAAAAATGATTTTAAGAGGGGCTTGAAGGAATAGTATAGTGTGATAAAATGGAGGAAATTAGTAAATTATGAATTTTGCTTTCCTTTTCACGTGTAAAGGTTTTTCATAGACATCAGGGCTCCAAAGCAACATCTGCACGCTGCTTCATGTTTGGCCTGCAAATGATAACAGTTTGGTCCCCTCTCACAGGACTAATGATGAGAGCCATTATGATGTAATACAGAATAAATGATTTTCAATTCATCACCTATTAAAATCACACTAGAGAAACTACTATTTGGTCACCAGTTGTGACTGAGCGGGTTGTGAGAAGCATGCAGTCAGAAAGAAAGTGGAAGTGGTGATGGGGAAATGGGACCATGTCTTTTGGCAACAGTAAACAGTCAAATCTGCTCAAGTTAGGACGTATAACTTTACTCACAGCCCTTACTGAGAGGGGATTACAGCAAAATGTACTATCCTGTATTTGTCCTGGGCTACAGCATGCAACATTTTAATGCATGATATTGCTAACAAGTCTCCAAGCCATTAGTCTATATTCCTTGTTTTTCTGTCATACTGTTACCAAGAGAGAAACAGATAAAAAAAATTTCACGGTCCATAAGAGATCTAAGTTTACATGGGTGACTGGCTGTGAAGTTTGATAGTGATTTTGGAAGTTAAACCAAATTACAGTGGAATCTTAGACACCAAAGAAAAAAAATGTAGCATGGACATGATCCTTTGAGAACCAAAGCTGTAAACTGAGACCAAGATGTGTTCAGGTCAATTTGACTTCAAGATATATAGAGTCCAGTACTCCATTCCACTTGAAATAAGCTATTGACAATACTCTGGGCCATAACGTATGACAAACAACAAAGGAAGATTTGCTGGGATATAATATCCTCATAGAATGTTGAAGCCTGGTTGGGACCTTTTGGCATACCAGTTGTACAAGGTTAGAAATCATAATCATTAGTACTAAGTTAATTGCCTGATGCAGGCAATTATTTCAATATTAACAAGATATAAGATTATCATATACATTTTCTGGAACTGTTGGAGGTGGTCTTAAGCTCAAGCTGAATCACGGATATCAAATTATGTCATATAGAACTGCCAGTCATAAGTACTGCCAGACCGTCTTAAAACAAGGCTATCTTCCTCATTTTTTTATGCTGTACTATTTCCACTTTTTAAAAGTAGAAAGCTGAGAACTACCTAAATGCTGTCTGTATTTAAATATTCTAAGGGAGCTTTCATTCCAGTATTATATTTTCACACAGCATGTGAAAGCAAATATTGATTTAAAATCTACTTGTGGACTGGAAATTCCATTTGTGAACAGTATTTTCTCTGTGAACTATTTAATGGAGTGCTGTGTTTCCTGTTATACATCCAAGTCAAAATATGTATATCTAAATAGAACTTTAAAATCAATTTGTCATTTTTTATTATTATTCATTGTAATGTACAGAATTAATATCCCCCCCCCCCTTTTTTTTTTTCATAAAAAGCTAGAATTACAGAGAAGCAGTGAGGAAGGTACATGAAAATTACTTAAGTAAATACGTAATCTTTGCACTTACCAGGTAATACATACTATTTTCTACTGAGTGTTTGAAGCAAGAACTTATTCTAAAATCTGAAATATATTCTTATTCATTTGTTTTAGTATTGCTAATTATATAGTATTTGGATGTTATTTTATAAGAAGAAATCTTAAGTAAGGATTTGATTAATCAGATGAATGGAGATCATTCTTTTTGCCCACTCAAGGCATTATGGATGGGAAGAACAGCCTTTACTGGTCAAGGACCAGGCATGATCATAAGTATTTGTCCCCTGTTATCTTAACATACTTATGTGCTCTCACACATTCAGAAATTGTACAGGTTTGTATTCAGAAATACATGGGGCTTCAGTGATCTGGTCTAGTCTGCATGCTTACACAACAGGCAGGAGGTCAATAGTGGCAGGAAAGGAGCAGCAAGGACCCTGAAGAAAGAGCTTGGCAAGATCTCTGTGCTGTTACTACTCTTGTGGGCCATCTGGAGTCAGATCACTGGAAATCGTTGTTTTGTTCACACCGATCAAAACACGGTATGTTATGTCACATATGCAAACATAGGCAAAAAACTTGCATTTATCTAACAGTGCTTCAAGAGTCATAGCTGCCAAATCTTTTTGTTTCTTGAGTTGGATTACGATTCCCTGATGCTGAGTAGTCTTTTCGCATTTAAAGTAGTCCTACCAATATTAATGTAATAGACACAGCTATATAAATATCACAGAATCATAGAATGGCTTAGGTTGGTTGGAAGGGGCTTTAAAGATCACCTAGCTCCAGCTGCCATGACCAAGGTTGCCAGCCACTACTTCAAACTGCCCAGGGCCTCATACAACCTGGCTTTGAACACCCTCAGGGATGGGACATCCATAGGTATTCTGGATAGTATGTGCCAGTGCCCTTTAACCCACAGAATCATACAGTTGTTTAGGTTGGATGTAAATAGCATTACCCAAATTTGCAAAGAGAATAGATATTTAAAAAAAATATTGCACACTGTCTCAGTTTGTTATCTTCTGAACATAAGAATTGGGCCTTGTTCTAATGATCATTCATAATCTTCTAAAAGAAGATAAAAGGTTTGATTTTCTCTGATTTACAATGGAAATATATGAATGATGTGTAATTATTAAAATCTTAGAGAAGTTACACTGTAAGGAATAAAATCTTTTTTCTGTTCTTTCTTCAGCCATTATTGTGTACAGGTTGCCATGGACCTGGAAGTGCAGCAAACTCCTAATGAAGTTCATACACGCTGGATTAAATACCATAGCTATGATTCTTGCAATTGTTTCTATGGTAGCTGTGTTTGACTACCACAATGCCAGGAGCATCCCCAACATGTACAGTCTGCACAGCTGGATTGGGCTGACTGCTGTTATATTTTATTCTCTTCAGGTCAGAATTTGTGTTTATAAATCAGTTGAAAAGTTAAAGAATGTGTTGAGTAAAAGTACAATAGCCCCTACAATAATAAGACGTTGTATTCTGGAATGCACTCTATTTTATATTCTGTGATTTGGCAAATCATCATGTAAATGAGCAATTACTGGATCCCTGACTTCAAAGAAAAATGTATTTTAAAGCATATTTTGTTTACTCGCTGGGTTTATTTATTGTGATTCAATTTGTTGGCAGCATATTTAAACACGGTTAGAACTTCTATTGAGAAACTCTCAAAGTAACTGAGATCTCATTTATTACAACAGGGAAAATGGTGTTCCTTAAACAGCAGTACTTTGATAAATGTCCACGTGCATGTTTTTAACTGTTTGTATTGCCAGAAAGTTAGATTTATCTTATCTAAATTGAGTTAACTTATGTTTTGCATTTGATGTAGAAGGAGAGCAGGGATGCCCCAGTATTTAGCACAAATATACAGGTGTGATGTTTTAGCACATAGAATTCTGAAGTCTCCATATTCTATAATTACACTTTAGAAATAAAAAAAAACAATCAACCAGGAAGGAAATCCTACATATGGGACATTTATTAAGTCAGCTTTACAGTCCAGAGCAATTCTAGTAACCTGATAGATCAGGACCAGAGTTACCTCGATGCTGTTTATTCAGTTTAAAACTTTGCACACCAAGAATCTGCACTTTTAACTTCCAGGGTTTTTTTTTAATTTCATTCCATGAAATTGTATTTCAGAAGTAAAGGCAATTTGTGTTAGAGTCTCTTAAATCTTAACAGAGAAGGAAAAGCAGTAAACAATTGCTTTTCCTTGTCTTCTTTAATACTTTAATAACGTTTTTATTGAACGCGTACTAAGCGAGTATTTGTAACGATAATTGACTTGATTTAGCTGAAATTGCATCTTTTTAATGTTTAAGCCACTTTTTGCTTAACTTGCATCATTTTCATTAAATGAAAGCTCAAACAAGTTAGTTTATTTAAGGGAGTTATCTCTTTGTGGTCAGGTTCAGACTTTAAAATGAATATTAAGAAAAAATGGAAGAAACATTTGTCTCACCAAGTACAGCCTTTATTTGAAACTATTATTTACTTTATATTTATTTACTTTAAATAATAAAAGTATAGCACAGCAGACTTCTTTAAATAAAAATTAATCTAGCAAAACTCTCAAATTACCACTGAAAATCTGATGTAATTAAAAAAGAGAAACTAAACTTTGAATATAGCCTTTATTTTGTTCCTTTAATTTGTGATGCTTAACTTCTTAGCCAAATGAAATGAAAAATCATAACGATCTGGTTATCAAGCACTGAATGTACTCAGCTAAGGGATTTGGGTTCTGGATTTCTATTCTTCACTGCTCAGGCAAGGAGGTACAAGGAATAGTGCTGAAATAATAGTACTTTAACACCTAGGAAAAAAAGAAGGCATACTGCAGCATTGATAATCATATACTTTATACTTTTTTTTTTTTTAATGCAAAATAAAGAAACAGCAACAAAAGAAAATATGGAAAAGTAACTTGAGTGCCTGTGGCTGAACCCATATGACATGGTGGTGCTCTCTTCCATCACAGAATTAACACTGATGGGAGGACCTGTGGCCCTTGAACAACCTGACACTACCCACATGCATCTTCACTTTAAATGCCAACAGACCTCTGCCCTTCTAGAGGAGGGTAGTTTAACTTACTTAAAGCTCTAAAAGGGTGAAATTCTTTAGGCCACTCAAGTCAAAATGTTAAACTCCATTCTGATCTTCATTTATGTATAAATCTGAACAGAAGGGGAGAAAAGGACTTATAATTGAAGGGACTCTGAAAATGTAGTCATCCATTTAATATCTTATTTATATTACTGATAGTAAATAGTTGTGTTTACAGTACTCAGATAAGTAGCAATTTTAGTTTTAGATACTGGTATGAGGTGGAATTATTTATAAAATATTTTACGTCTGCTTTCCAGATGATGATCCAGAATGATTGCTTTGGTATTGTAAGAATACATTAAAAAATAAAAATACCAATTCCTGTGAATATTTTAACTGAAAATCAAAAAAATTCAGTTTTTCATATACTTCAATTTTGCTTCAGAAGTGCAGCTTGTTTCCCATATAGCTTTAACTATGAATATGTTTTGTGTTTAGCTTTTCTTAGGTTTTGCTATCTTCCTACTCCCATTTGCTCCAGTATCTCTCCGAGCAGCTCTCATGCCAATACACGTTTATTCAGGGCTCCTCATCTTTGTAACAGTGATTGCAGCAGCTCTCATGGGAATCACAGAGAAACTTTTATTTGCACTGTAAGCATTCTTTTTTCACTTGTTTATTAAATTTATTCATTGCATACTGTAATTCTCCTTGGCAGAATAATAACAATCCGGTATTGAGAGAGCGCTTTGTTTTAAGAAGACCTCTTATCTATTAGGAGACTACTGGTTTAGACTTGAATTGTCTTTAAAACAATTGTCTTTTCTTCTCCTTCCAAAGGAATAGTACTGTGTACAGTACATCCCCACCAGAGGGGATTTTTGTCAACTGCCTCGGTCTCTTGATTGTCATATTTGGTGCACTTATTTTGTGGATGGCAAGCAGGCCCCATTGGAAGCGCCCACCAGAAGAGAATGCTAAAGTTCAGCAGCCCAAAGGAGGAGCTCCTGAAGGCATGGAAGCAGAATCTACAATGACAGATGGCAGTAATGCAGACAAATCTGATGTGGGGTTCAACAGTGAAGCAGCCAGAAAACGAAACTTCAAACTTGATGAAGCAGGGCAACGATCAACAATGTAAAGAAAATATATGCAGTAACAGTACTGCTAAACCACCAAAAAAAGCCTCTGTTCCTTCCAGTTGTTATGTGAATATATACAATGTGTCCCAAACACTTTGTATTGGTTCATACTCAGTCCTCACTCAAAAAATTGAGAGCACGGATAGCATCACATATTGGGAAAACGTTTTCCATCTCCCTTCTTAAATTAATATGTCTAAGAGTCATGAAGAGTTACTGAGACTGAATTCTGATAGATTTTAAAAGGTATGAGAGAAAGTTGTGAAATATAGCAGAAAACAGAATTTAGCCATTAGGACATAGCTTTTTTTTGCTAACGTTCACTTTTCTGAAGTCATGAACTATCACATTGATTAACCCCTCTTCAACTGCTAAGAGCTGCAGGATTTGAGGTTAGTCAGCACTTGGCTGAGTTGCACTATAAAGTCCTTTAATCTAAAATTTTGAATTCAAATAAAGAAATTAACAGCTTGCCCTGATATCTTCATGATATGTTCTGTGTTTAAAGCCTTCTCAGTTTTTGTTTTTATTTTTTAAATCTAAATGTACCTGCTGACTTTTTTTTTTTAAATCAGCTCCACCAAATACATTGTATAGACAACATATCATTATTGAAATCTTTGGAAATCGTAAAACTTCCAAGAATCTGTCTTATTTTGAAAGGCATAGAAACACACTTAGGAAAAAAAAATGCATCACTTAAACCAGGACTTCTATCCCAGAAGGCCATGGTTTACTCTCTTGATTTGATTGCACCTTGTTCCTTGGCATTAGACTGGAAATTAGTAAGTTAGAAAACAGAACAGACCGGTAGCAGACTCAGAGAAGAAAGGAGCTTGAACTGAGAAATGTTTTCTGCCAAGAAACAACTGAGCTTTGCTGATTGGACTGAAATATTACCAACTAACTGAAAGCTAGTTGTAGTATTTACATTCTGGTGCCACAATCATCATCATCACCAAAACAAAGACATTCTTTAGTCTACATATAACTACATATAAACTCTATGACTTATCTTTTTTGAAATTTAAGTCTTAAATAATGCAATTCAAGTCTCTGCTGGCACTTTACTTTTATAGCTCTTTAAGTAATCAGAGTATTAATGCGTTATGCTCATTCAGTTCTTTCACAGATATAAAATATGCTTTTTTTTTTTTTACTACCATAGAAGAATTACAGTATATTATTTTGATTGCACATTTTCAGAATTATGAGCCTTTGTATTATAATCTCTATAAAAGTCATCTTGGAAACTGCAATACCTGTTCCAAAGAACTAGATATAGGCAGTTTCAGATAGCAGATTGTTTTTTTATTATTTTTTGTAAATAACTACATAAATTTGCATCTATATCAGCATCTCATTTCCTGTTATTTGATTTTTTTAATATTTAACTGTTTGAGTGCAGTACAGAAAACTAGTATTGCAATTTTAGAAAAAACTTCTGCTCTACTATTTGGTACTCAAGGACTACATCCCAGAGTTCTGTTTTCACTTACTACATGTGTGGGTGTCTAAGACCCTTTCAGCATTGGTTTCATTTGAGAAAACACATGCTTTTAAATGCCTTACTACAGCATTCAGAAATGCAAGAAGGAAATACCATCCTATTGTGTGAGCACTTATCCAGTCCCATAGCATACAGCGGATTGGACAGTTTTTTTCCCTTGTTTTTCAAGCATAGGTTTTTCTACATTCTATACAGTTGACTGCTTTCTCTAACCTAGCTTCAGCATAAAATCCAACTACTATTGATAGTAGCATTATGAAAGAAAAAGAGCACTAGTTTTACCTGAAATTAGTGCTCAGCTGTTAGGACATGATTACTTTATGCATCTCATTATTCTTCTGGAGCATACTAAGCTATGTTACCTTCTTTCTTGTTATCTCCTTATATTCTGCTAAAACTAGACTGCTTTTCTGATGAAGTCAGTAAGCATTTTACAGCTGATGGATTCCCAGTTAGTCTTTGTGAGAGATGTTCTGGTAATGCTTTCAAAGTGTGAGACAATGTATGCAGTTCAAAACAGGTTGTTTTAAGTTGGCATGTATTACGCTGTTGCTGCGCCTCATCTACCACTGAAAATGAGCTCATTCGATGCTTGCACAGCACTAAGTCATCTAATAAAAGGTGTGCAAGGCAGAGCCTTGTCCAAGGACTGATCTAGAAGAAACTCTTAACTGTACACTATGTTGGGAAGAAAAGAAAAAATCCTTAGCATCTCTTACTTTTTATTACAATATTGACTTGGATGCATCAGAGTTCCGTATGCTGTTTGAAATTAAGCTACAGTAATTAATATGACCTTGGATTCCCGTTTTGTTCCATGCACTGGTCAAGAGTAATGATACTTCCATTCTAGAAATTACAGTCACAAGCAGATAACCAGTGATAGTTCATTTGCATGAAGCATGAGTTTCTGACTGCTTTGAATTTTGGAAGGTCCCTGCAAGATGCAGTAGTTCTGAGTTCCTAAAATCTTGCTCTACCTTAGTGTGTGCAATTTAAAATAGACTGAACATACTACAGACTATCAGCTTCTGTTCTAAACTGATTAAAAAGATCTTGAGGTACTCAAGATCTAACTAACACAAGGTTAGTTCAAGTGCTAAGTAAAATTACATACAACTTCAGAAATCAATTTCCTTTGGAAAAAACACACTGCTCCAAGTGCTTCTCAGAGTGGCCTTCCATCACATTTTCTTTCATACGGTGTTTTTAAACCTACAATTACACGTTGAAGCACCAGCACAAGAAATAACAAGTTATATTTTCAAAATGAAACTTGAAATTCTAATTTTTTACCAGGATTTTTTTTTGCATATATTTTTGCATATACATGACAAGATTGTATAGCTTACATTCCAGGTTGGGATTCCTGTAAAAACTTAGGACATTCCGAAACCTAACACTAACAGTATATTAAAGATATCTGAAAAGTAACTATTTTTGATGTAGTTGTCTTGCAGTACTGAGCATAGAAAAAGTGGTGGTTTTTTCCCTAACATTAATGAAACTGAAAAATGCTGGTGCAAATAAGATATTAAAATAGAACATACACTAATTATGTGCACACATTTTACTACATGTAGAAAGCATATGATATTGTAAATACGTATTACTTGTATACATGGATATTTTATTGAAAGACTAGCAGATATTGCCAAATATTTTCCAATACAGAAGACTATCATCTTATCCTATTTCAGAAAATTTTCTGTTTCTAACTGTTCATAAGAACTTAAAGAATTATCTTATTGTTTTGTTATCTGCCATACTTACTTGCAGATTAAAAGAAATGTTCAATTACAATGTATATTTTCCTTATTCTTTTTTATGTTAATAAAATAGATTTTTCAAGCTAACAATACCACTGAATACAGATCTATATTATGGTACTAAAACAACTGTCAGTTTGGTAAAAGATTGAATTACTTTTATGATTGCATTTTTTTTTTGAAAACACAAACAGGATTTCTCATTTTTTCTTAAGATACTACAAGTGTTTCTCATGATATTCCACATGAAATGTACGCATGGTGTAGTATTAGAAGGCTAAAGTACAGTCATTGTATAATAAAAAGCAAAGGAATTCACTGTATAAAGAAAGAATCTGCATTACATTTGGTCATAACAGGAGTTTCTCATTAACTTTTTTAATCTGTTAACAATGGCATAAATCAGTCATGAGATTACCACAGCAAATAAGAAAAGATTATCATTTCTGATACATAACTGTAAAGTGGTCACATAACATGCTATAAGAGCCAAATACCCTTAGATAAATAACATCAGATAAACTGAGCACAGCGTAAGGTTTTGACTCATGGAATCCTGCAACCCAACTGAACTGATATAAAAATCATTCTCCAAGTTACTCAGTGATAGGTTATTGACCATGAAATGCTATAAACAAAGAAATCTGTAACAAAGTAAGAATCCAACTATAATCTTGTGCTTTGTAATACGATTAATTGGAAAATCTAAAAGTGTAAAGAATACAGATTACTCCTGAATATCATATAGTTGTTTGCTAAAACCTTCCAATGTGACCATCATGGAAGAGCTTAAAATACGATCACCATAGCAGAACATTTTCCACAGTCAAATTTTAGTTTGCTGTATCCAAACCAATTTGTTGTTGCTTATAACAACTTCTCTTACCATCTCATGTGGGCTGGGTTTCCTGGTAAAATAACAAATGCCTTTTCAATATGTTGGCCATTTCAAAATTCAATACAAGCTCAATTATAATCATACTTAAAGAGAGGACTTCAAGTTTTGACAGGAGGACTGAATTTGTGGGTAGGAGAATCTTTGGGGTTCTTTTTCCCCCCCACAAATACTTGATGGAATTCTTATGTACAGATTTGTGCACTGTATTATGGTATGACCAGCACCTTTGATCTCTGTAAGACTAGTAGGCAGTAATGAAGTTTTACCACACAGGAACAGCCAAATCTTAGACAACAAAATAGATGAAAATAATTCTACTAATGCAGCTATGAGAAGAAAGGAACCAAAATGAGAAAATCCAGTTACTACTGTGCAGATATCAGAACTCTAAACAAATGACAAGGTGATAGATAACTCTGAGATCAACTTTAGCATTTGTGATCACCACAGTCTACCAACCAACATATGCTAGCTTGAGACTTCACTTCATAGTTGCATCTATGGTCACATGTACTGTTGTACCGACTACTCCCTGCCTCTCACATTGCCTCTGAATTAGGCAAACTGGTTCTTCTGGCACAGGAATTCAGGCTGTGGCCCATGAAGTTCCATATGGATTTACCTTAAACTTTATACTCTAGTATTTTAACTAGAAAGTGTTATTTGTATGACTCCTCTGAACAGCCTATAAGGATAATCCCAGTTGAATCATTAGTTCTCACTGGATCTAATTCATTCACCTTTACTTCAGCTGAATGGTAGGAGTGCCAAAGAACTGAACTGAATAAGGCTAAGCCTTGTAATTAAGGTTTCTGTTATACAGACTGGCATCCTAAAACTAATCTGATGATTAAGAGCGCTATGGACTTGACCATTCTTTTCTGCTAGGAAGAAAAGATGTTAACTCCTACATAATGATCAAGTTTTACATATGGGTCATTTTAATTCTATTTCACTTTCTTCTAGTATAGCTTTAGTTTAATATAATAGTAGATGCAACTTCTCCTAAAACATACTCTTATTATATTGAATCGAAAAATTGCTATATGCTACCCCACAAAGGGGTAAAATTCCTTCTACCTAGGCATTTTGTAGTAATATGTGGCATACTGATGCCTTTAATGCAAATGTATAATTTCTATTTCAGTTTATTCTCGACTGGAAAATAATGTATCACATCTAATCAAATCAAGGGCTATGGCACAGCATCAAATAACAATTAAAAACATGAAGCATTAAGCTGAGACTGTAGTTACTATACATACATCTTCCCCATTCTTTAAGTCACCAAAATTACCAGTCAGGACTCCCTAGTCTTTTGCTAGCTCAACAGGTATGCTATTTAAAATCTATGAACTACAAAAAACACCAAGTCCCTACTTTGCCCAGCACCAGTTAAGTCAAGAAGTAGGTATTAATAGACATGTCAGAAAATCGATAACATTTATGAAAATGCTTGCAATTCAAATTTCAATTTTCAGCAGTATTTTGTTCAAAATTCCATCTATCTCCACTAAACATCTGCAAGACATTATTAAACAAGTAAATTTTTGAATATGCTTGTAGCAGATCCTTTGATTTTCATTCCCTGCATACACAACCACTAATCCACTAGATGGCAAGCTCTACCAAACTGGCCTCTGTCAGATGCTAATCTGTTGCTGCTTTAGATGATATGTCATCTTTCTTAAAATAAGTTTGGCCAAGATAAAAAACAGTTATGGCAGTTTTACACTCTTCTAAAGTGGCCAACTAAACTATAATATTTCTTCATCCTTTCAATACTGGAAACTGTAGTGCCCTACACCATCTCAAACTTCTGTACCAGTACAAGCTCAGTTAAAAGAAACAATGACAAGAACACAAGAGCATGAAAATGTAAGGAAAAGGTCATATGCAAGATACAAAAGTATCAGGAATTGAGAAAAACAGGAACTTCTAGCACTTCAGCCATTTGATCTTGTAGCCTTGCATAGAAGTTGGCCCCCAAAAAAAGAGAACACTAGAGCCAATTGCAAATAACCCAAAAATCAAGTTCTCCCCTCTGAACTATGTTAACAGTTTAGTCAGATAGAATAAACAGACTTTGTATGCGTGTCTTCTGTTAAATTCCACTGAATATCTTAAACCACTGAAGCTATTTTGGACTGCTGCACTGGTGCCACTTTGGGATTTGACTTGCTTACTTCCCAGGCCATCTATACTGTAAGATGTTTTTGTCTCTTACAGGTGACTTATGGCAGCTATTTCCTCGTGTTAGAACAGTGGGAGCACGCATTTAGGGCACAAAGTCTTCCACAAAGCTAAGTACTCCAGTTTGAGTGGCAAAATCCAGCATAGAACTGATTTTCCAGGATATGACTGTCATTACTGTTGCAACTGAAATTTCCAGTTGTAACTCAGGTACCAACACAGAAATAAATATTGGAACCCCTATAAAGGGATCTAACTATACCTGCACATGCTTTCAGCTCTTCCCAGCAACACCAAGATCATAGTCTTAAATTAACAGGTGATAACAATCCTATGAAGGCTTCACACATTTTCCCTACAAACTGCATTATTTCACACTTGATATTATTAATCTTCCCATCAAATTACATATACGCTGTTCATAGCATTTCTCTTATTCCAAACTTTCATCTCTAGGTCTTCCAAGGACATTTTACTCTTAACTCTATTTCTGAAACCTCTGACCTACCCAGGCATAATCTTACTATCGCTGAGTACACTTTCTGCATTTTACAATCCTTGTAAATCATTCTCTCATTTTGATAAGGATACATCAATTTAGTACAAATAAGATACTAATGCCTTAAAAGACTAATTCACTACAAAGTAACCTCTTGTGGAATGTAAGAACTGGATACAAGGACATTTTGTACATCAGTCCAACACATTCAAATTCCATTACAAGCCACACACCTAGGTTCAACATGTTGTCATATGTTTACATGATAGGTCAGTTATTCACATCATACTTGGTATTCTTTTCCTTACCTCTACACATTAGCAATTATAACACCCATAATAAAATTACTAGTAACATTTCTGAATGTGTAGAAGTGTCATAACAAAGGACACACTGATTTTCTACCTTACAAAATAATTGAATTCAAAATTTCATTTTAGAGTTTGTCTTTAGGTATGATATGTAAAATCCATTCCACCGGCTACATCCAACAATTTCTGTTACTTTAAATCCATAATTTCAGGTCTGACCCACTTTGAGAGATGACAGCCTGGATGTAGAACACTAGGAAAAGCAGTAACTTCAATTTGTTCTCTGCACAAAATTGTTTATTCAGAAAAAGGTTTTGAAATAAAATGCTTTGGAAGGCCGGCAAGCCTGCTGAATGAGTTGTTACTCTTTGAAAGAACATTACTTTAAAAATTACAAGAAAATCTGAGTGTTTTAATAAGTGGAACTCATGAGAGAAAATAAATGGAAGAGTTTGAGAGGGCATTTTGGTTATTTTTCCTCCTGGGGCTGCCTGCTGCTCTTACATGGAATTTTCCTGCTGATTTGGCTTTTTATTCTGCTGTGAGACTGGCACTCAGATTTACATGATTGCTTTGGAGAGGAGCTAGATTTTGCATAAGGAAGATAACTGCTTTTTTCCTAGGGAGAGACAGAAAAGCAAAGGACAGAGTGGAGCATGTGGACAATATTGTCTGCATCTACATTCTTGGTATAGTACTTTATTGAGCCTCTATTTTAGATTATGCTGTGTCTAATAAAAGACTGGATAGCTATCAGTCTCAAGTCAGTACAGACAAGCAACCACAGGTAAACAAGATCACAGATAAGCAAATAAACTATTTGTTTTAATGCTAGTGTCCAGCTCTAACAATGTGCTGTTTATGTATAGAGTTGACCATGGTGCATCTCAGAACATCTGTGTAATCAAGGAAAACTCATTAGAATTTACCATGTGGAGATTTGCCTTATATGCAGGGTTTTCCAGTAAAGAAGAGTGATTGTAGAACTGTGCACAATTACAGCTATTTTAGCAATCATCACCGTCTGCACATTCTTTGACTCTGGATTACATGCTCTGAAGGTTAAAACAATGGGTAAGATCTTTGCTAATGAGGCAGACTGTGTAACATCAAATCATTTACAGATAGTTTTCATTAATCTTACAGTACTCTGCAGAACACAACGCTGTGAGATACTGAAATGTATCTGTATTGTAGCACAAGGAACTTCATGACCAAAGCAAGACTCCAGAGAAAGAGGACTGCTTCTGAGAGCAGAAGGCAGTTGGAGAGAATTTAGCATTGAGAGGGAAGAGGCCTTGAAATGCAATTAACAGACTAACCAAATTATTAATAATTTTTCTAATTAAATACACTGAATAAATACGTGATTTAGTTTTAAGTAAAACAAGAAGAAAAACACCTACCAAGTCTCATTATGAGAGGAAGAGACAGTATCATGCAACTTAAGCAAATATTCTAGAGTTTCTATAGAAAAATGGGTAGGAAATCCTACTGTTTTTTTTGTTGTTGTTTTTGTTTTTTTTTTTTTAATTGTGTAGACAACATTTTAGGCTGTCATTAAATCACCTAACCACAAAGAATAACTGATTTTATGTTTTTGCA